AGGGAAAGGAGAAGGAAGGATAGGAATATTCTTTTTCCCCCTATTTTGATGAAGTTGAGGCTATGAAAAAGTAAATCAAAGAAATGAAAGCAGCATTCTTCAGTACTGTACGGGGTAAGCATTCCTTCTCAATCTGGTGCTATATCTCCATGTACTACAGTACAGTGAATTAATGACATGTGTAGAATATGAAGTATTGGAAATCAACATAAACACAAAGAAGAATTCTTAACCCAAAGCGACAACCGCTTAGACTACAGCTGGCCGAAAAAAGCCTTCTATTCATGCTCTCCAGTGTGTACTATTAGCTATCTGTACAGAATAGTTGCTTAGGCTCACAATATCTAGACCAGAAGTCAGCAAGATTGTAATTCTCTTTTTCCATTACTGGCTAAGTCAACTAACAGAAGCTATGCAGAAGCTCGGTAATTCAGTAAAGCTAGATGCTACCAATCTAGGTGACTGGCAACATCTATTCAAGACAGAAGCTTCTCAGCTCCCAGTGGATCAGAATCAGTATCTCCCAGATGCCTCTCTCTCAAGAAGATGTACCTTCCGGCTCTGTAGAATATAATTCAGAGTCTTCCAATATGCTAACTTTGGCATCTGCATCATAGATTGCTGATTCCTGATCTAGATTCCCAATCTGTGATAATTTCCAAGCAGAGGATATATAGATCTTAGGAACGTACTTTGAACAGCTTTCAGAACATTCTTTCAAGTATGTATTCTTGAGTGGCAGGAAATCACAACAGTAAAACCAGCATGTTAGGGGCTGTGCATCATGGTTACCAGAAGATTAGGGATGCACTAACCTTAAGACAAGGAATGGGAATAATATATTACTCAGTGAAAAGTTTTTAAGGAAGCCTCTAAAGAGTGATAATTCAAATACAGTTAACTGAGTATTATCTACTTACAATAAGATATTTTACTTATTTCTCAAAAGAATGACAGCAATACAAAATTCTGCTCCACAAATTACTACCAACTCAGAAGGCCAAGAAAGCTTCACTTACTTTGTGAGGACAAGCTATCGTTCTTGGAGCATCATCTTCTTTAATTTTTCTTGGCTTCATTCTTAAAAATAAAAAAGGAAAATATTAGTAGACAGCTCTTCTCCCACAGCTGTTTGCATAATGCACAGATTTATTCACTAGTGTTACGTGCATCGGTAGCATTCAGAGTTTAATATTTTTAAAACCCTCACAATAACAGCGTACTTTGGCATTTTGCAAGTTCAGCTTTTCCAGAAGCACCTCTCAAATACAGAGTAAGACATTTAACACTACCTTCCTAGTTCTCTGAATACATGGAAAGAGAGGCTGTTGCTGGTTTAACTGTGGTCAAGCGGTTTTGTTTGAAAACTCCATTTCTGTTGTGCCCGTACCCATGTGGCCTATGTGTCTTCACTTCCTCTCCCATCCCTGCAGCAGGACGTAAGAGACAGTAGATCTCAAACCTTCTTAAGTAGTTTCACCATACCAGAATCTAGAAGACAACACTGCAGAAACAGGGATGGCAGGCAAGTTGTGGAGTCTACATAGACAACGTTATAACCACAGAAACGGTAATAGCTATTCTTAAATTACTGTACACATGGATTCCACTCTTAGCAACTGACAAGAAATTATCTGTTTACTTTTGGTCACTGATGGGGATATCCACCACTATTTTATGGGCCCCACTAAGACTCTCCATTGCCTACACGGGAAGCCCAGCAAACTAATACGTGCATTTAAATTAGAGGTTTCAAATATATTCTTATGACTCTCTGTAAGCAACAGTTTTAGAACAGTCCTGCTTTAACAGTTACCTCTCTGGACGCCTGATGATTGTCATATGCATGGACAGTACTCCCAAGGAAGAGCATCATCCTTTTACCTACCCTTATTTCTCAAACCTGTAGTGCTTTCCTCAAAGCCTGAAAGAGATGCCTTAACTACTAGCGGAGCAAGCCTCAACATAAGCACGTAGGTGTAAATGACAACTCAGTAAATGTATCTTATACAGCTGAAACTCACTTATCTAAGTCAAGAGATATCACCCATTCCCAAACTCTGCTGGGGCAAAGAAATTAGATTGTTGATGTGAGTTCCTGAACTACTTTCCCTGATGATACAGTAACAGATAATTCTGTATCTCAGATATGGCACTTAGATTCCTCCTAAGTTTTCTGGTGTTTTCTTTGGTCCAAATTAAACAGAGATGAGCGTCTGAAATTTAGCAAAAGAATTAACATGACCAGAATCACTATTCTTAGCATTAAGAAGCAGAGGTGACCGTGGCTATCCAAGGCAGTTTTAGCTACCATGAGGAGAGTTCCTAAAAACAGATATGGAAAAAACGGGGGAAGAATTTGTTTCTTTGCAGATAGCTCCAGTGCTCTTTGATACTGCTGCATTCCTGTGAATATGGCTGAAATCTGTGCTTTCACCTGCCTTCCTCATGTGCATGGATCAGAGAAGAGAGGAATGGAGGGCCCTGTGAGGATGAATTAAGGCAAGGACAGTGAAAAGCATCCCTGAGAATTCCTGAAGAGTGGATCCAGAAAGATCTTCTTCCAAGTGCCACTGGAGCCACGGGTGGTGGAGAAGTCTCTTATGGTACTGTGGGTTATCACTGACACCTCAGAAACAGCCTAAAGCTCTTCTCTATGCTGCAAGATTTAGCACAGTTCAAGTGGCCATGTATGGACAGAGCGCTTGCCAGTTAGCCGTGTTGCAGATAAAACAAAACCCAAAGATTCAGTGGCTGGGTTTTTTTTGGTTTTGGTTTTGTTTTTTTAAGTGGACATTCAAAATAAACTCCTGCTCAGCCATCTCCAGGCTACATGGACTACGCACAGCACTAACTGAAGAACGCCACAGTCCCCTGCAAAGGTTAAGTATATGGACACGACTAAAAATTTGGAAGCTGGAGGGTTATCACATGCCTTTCACAGGCTTCAACAGCCCCCTCATTTACAGATATTAACAACTCCTAGAGGACGGGGGCAAAGTATTTGCGTTCACCACCCTCTTGCACCATTGTCAGCAGTATACCTAAAAATCCCATTCATTTAAGGAGACACCGGACATCCTGAACACAGCAATCTGCTTCTGTTCTTGTAGACTGTCCTCTTTATCATCTTCATCTTTCTGACAACTTTTCTGTTTCCAAGACTAGAGACCAACTTCAATGACCTGACTAAATTTCATAGTTTAATATAATTGGAACAGAGAAGATCGTGCTGTGTTCAGTTTATGCATCTCTTTGAGGAAAGTATAGAATAACTAAATACAAACAGGAGAACGGGATTAACCAATTGACTACACTCCAGCGAGGGTTAAGATTCACAGTAGTACAGGTACTGAAGCTAGAGGAAAAACACATACAACTTTCTTACAGTATCTGTAAGAAAACTTCCTACTACCCTTCAGAGAGGGTTCCTTTGTGTCTCTATGGCTTCCACAGAAGAAGGAGGCATAGAAAGGAGCACCCGTTAGGCCAAAATGGGTACACAGGAGAACGCTTTGAGAACATGGGACATTCTGCTGATAGTGCCGTGGGTCAACAGCATTAGAGAACAAACGTTCTTAAAGGACAGTCTCAAAAATACCTCCGTTACCTCCAACACCATCAGTTTGCTATAGGTTGCCCGAGTCACTCCTCAAGGAAAAAGAAAAAAAGAAAGAAAGGAGAGATACCCCTACTAAGCCACAAACCTATGCTCATAGAATGATCAGAATCAGTGAAAACACCACTGTTCTGAGGTTATAACCGACTCTGTAAAGATGCAGACTAGATAAAGAAGAAACAGTACTGAGAGACGTGGCAAACAGCTTTAGTGGGTAAAGCTTACAGTCTTTCTATTTGGCATAGGATACCACCAGTCTCCACTGTGTTAAGCCCTATCCCTAACTGTTATATCTTGCCTCTGGTTTTGAAGCAACCTCTGGAAAATAAATGCTGTGACAGTCATCCATAACCGGCTGCTGAAGTGGAATGAGAGAGAATACCCTGGTCAGTGTAGTCAGGAAGATTTATCAGCACAGTCAGGCAGGCGGGGGTACAAATCGCAGCTGAATTGCATGGTCAGACATGGGACTGACTGGAACTTCATTCAACGTACACCTGCATTTTTCAGTTCAGTGTCTGAACAGGCACCTAACATGAGGAGTGTTCCCCTTCTGCAATAAGCTTATTTTCTAGTTTGAGCTTTGTTTCTAGAGGGAGGAGTATCAGCCCAGCAGCCTACTTGAACATACAAACATTTAGCGTTACTACTGACTATAAAACGACAACAAAGTTCCGCTCACAGAGGGGTAGGTTTTAAATCTTCACTTCTGCTGAAAGCATAGGGAGGGAGCAACTTGAGCCTAAAACCCAAAACTGTAACAGTGTTCCATGGGCAACCAAGCTAGTCAACAAAATAGAAGCGCACGCTTTAAAAAGACGAGGCACCAAACACTGTCCAGGATATATCTCGGTGCCATGGGCAGCAAAAAGCAGCTGAGGAACAGCTGAGCCCTTTGTACATTAAAGGCACGACAGCACGCACACCACAAGCGCGACTACAACTGATCATTTTGTCAGCAGTCTAATCTTTCTCCCAAGGGAGTAGAATCCATGTGGACAATCACTCAAAGAAGAATTTAAAGACTTTATATATTTAAATGTATTAGAAAAAAAGATTTTGGTCTTACTTTAAAATTAACTTTCTGCAAAAGGAGACCAGACTAGAACCTGGGCTGTTGATCTTAATTACACTGTTGCAGGTAGCTCCACCCTCTTGCTGGTGGTTAGACTTTTCGCTCCCACCCAGTAGAGCATCTCTACCAGCTCCGTCCAAGTTTTCTTAGCCTGAAACATTAATCAAAAACAGAACTCTAACACATACCACTACTTAAAACAACTACAGACACACACATTGATACCTGGGTGGAACTTTCAATAGGGCAGCTGCCTTTGCAGAAAGTCAATTTACATGGCAAGACCAGAATTTTCATTTCTGCAGTGAGTCTACTATGGGCCATACCTAGTAGTAACAAATGCAGACTGGCTTTCTGGGAGAAACTAGGGAGGGTACTTTTTGGACCAGTGTACTGGCACACTGCAATTAAAGGCTAAATCTGTTGACTTGTTTGAAGCGCCATATTTAGGATGGAAGCGGACAGGAGGGAAAGTGGTATACAGTATGGCAAAACCAACAATGAGTCCACAGCATCAGCTTTCTAAAGGGAAACTCTCTTATCTGTGCATAGAGAAGATTAAGAGAGTGAAATCACAGGCATTAAACCACTCAGTTCTTCTGGGAAAAAAAAAAAATATATATATATATAGACATACAAATACACAGGTAAAAATGAAAGATACTCTGTCACTGTACAGTACCAGGAAGTATCTAACAGCTCACTGCATCCCTTCAGCCACCTAGCTGAACTGAAAGAACTGCACCTTGACAGAACAACCCCCTCTGCCCTAAACCCCTATCCGCCTCCACAACTGGTTGGTGTGGAGAGAGATCCAACTTAAAAATAATCATCATCATCATAATATAAATCCACAAACTAATGTTAAGGCTAGGAACAAAGGAAATCTATAAGGCAACAGCAATTAACAGTATGAAATTTCCTGCTTGTTCTGGTAGCTCCCTTTTTTTTGTTCCTCTTAAACCTCTGTGTTCTTGCATCTTTTCTTCTCCTTCAATGTATAAATGAAACCTGAACTGTATTAATCTCCCTCTCAGGCAACTACTTTCACACTTTCCTAAAGGTCTCTGATGACCAACAGTGATATTCGCCTTTGCTGATGACCTGATCTCTAAGAGTAGAGAAAAATTTCCTCCTCTTCTATCTATCAGTGGTATCGTTTCCACTTCT